CGGAAAGAAATTATACGGGAAATTAACTAACGACCAGAGACGTAACATTATTTTGTGTATAAAAGCATTGGCATATTTACTGATAATATACCAAATTTCGTTAACATTCGCTTACTAATTTAAATGTTTTAGCATGAAAACTATAACAAACACAAAATGGTTACGAGGTCGGTCCCAGGGACTGAGCCTAAGCTGAAAGAGTTAATGGGTTGATCTGATGAAGCCTCATAACTTGCGTCAGCCCTCGTCGAGTCTACCGTGGAACAATTATATAGCACCCGTTAAGTCTGTATTACCTCTAGGACCTAATTTAATGGGTTGATCTGATGCGATCTCTTGATTTGCATCAGTCCTTCTATAAACTCTAAGATGTGCACTCTCATCAGTAGTAGTATCTATGAGAGTAGTAGCCATGTCTACTTACCTACTACTTTTACTTATATCACTTAACTGACTTACTTACTTCTACTTTTTCCTTTACTCTAACCAACCTGTCATTACTTACTCCAAAAATCCTGGAAGACTGCACCAAATGTGACAGGACACCATGTAGGCTAGTTATTGGTAGTTTGATTAAATCCAGCTCACAATAGATTTATTCAATTCCAGGTTACAGTCGCGAGTGGAGCACACTAGTCACTAATTCGAGAAATTTACAGTCAGACTAAAGAATTCACTCTGAGAATGAGATTCAAAACACAAACAACACTTGAAAACAGTATCTATATAAAAGGTAGTGTGTGTCACGACACGCTTGATTTTTCGAAATAAGAGAAGTCATAAAAGCCAAAATGTATTTATACCGATAAAATGTTCGATTACTGTCTGCTCATTAAGGGACATGAAGGGGTTGCCATTAAACCGTATAAGTGTAGTGAGTGTTGATATAATAAATCTAAAGTAAATACGTAGTGTGGGATCACCTAGCCTAGAGCTAAATGCATAAAATTTATCATGTAAGTAAAAATATTGATTCAATTTTTAACTTGAATAATTTCTGAATTAAGCTATTTTCTAGATTCTAATTTTGATTGGTTCACAAAGGAATTTACCAATGCCTGACTACCTCGACTGCACTTTTCTACCTCTTTACTGGTGAAGTTTGATTTCGCAAAATTTATTATTTCAGTTAGCTATGAAATGTGAGGTTAGGGTATACTAAAGGGTGGGATGGTAGTACTTACCACATCACATTTGACAGACTATATGCTAGTATTAATATAATCGGCTATTCGAAAGTACCAGAGGTACCTTGAAAAGTTTCACTGTTTAAAACTATTGAATTTATCAATCTGAGCAGGTTCTTCAATTAAATTTTCTATAACATCCACTTATTACTTAATAGGGGGTGTTGCAAAATAAATCACACCTGGTAGAACCACGAATATCAACCCACTCTTGGGTGTTTGCCTCTTCAAAATTAATTTTTTGTGAAAACTTTTGAATCATGGTGCTTACTAGAACTCAGCTTCATGTTGCATGTGCTGCCTTCAGAATGGCTCAGAAACTAGTCGCAGACATGCTCAGAGAATTCAAGTCAGAGCTTTCGTTCAACAATGCATAGAAGAAATTTTGAAAACTTTGCCTGAATGCAAGAGACACAAACGTGAAACCTTGATTCGTGTTCTCACTGATGTGCTCACAGAGACATCCACAAAAACAGACGTGTTTGTTGCACTGCTGAAATCTTTTGCGAATCGATTAAAACTCGTGCGTGAGAACAATGGTGGCCCAATCGAACGATATTGATACTTGGAATTACTTTTTGATTGAAATAAAATCTTATTTTACTTTGTTATGCTCTCGAGGTAAAAAGTGTGATTTATTTTGCAACATCTTTACTACCAGTAAGTTATCAATTAACCCAATAATTGAAATCTGCTCAGATATATCTTAATAATAAACATTATTCGATTCTGAGAAATAGCAATAGTTACTTACATAGAGCTTGAGCAGGAAATGTTGGACATCTTCAATGTTGTTCTGGGCACAGGATCAAGCAGCATATTCATCCAGCAGCAGGTTGTTTCAATTTTTGACATGAGCCAGGAGACTGACTTTCAGTCCAAAAACATGACTTCTTATACTATTTAGTTTGGTATCCATATGACTTTCCAAGAAGTGTACACATCTAACCTACAAGTAGATCTGTCACTTAATTGGATAATATTTGCAGACTCAACATAATTCTCGAAACTAAAACCAAAACTAATTCAACAATTGTTTATGATCAAAGATGGTAAGTTGGCAGCCTATTTGCTTCTATTTCTCCTCGTGCTCTTCAGATCAATCTTCCACCAGTCTCTGATTTCCTTGCTAATTTCTTTTATGGAAGTTGTTTTCAATCTGTAATGAAATTAATAGAAACTTTTCTCATAGTTTTCTCTCTGCTGCAGTGGTGTCAGTTTATAAATGATGTAAACAGTTGATTCGCCATTCTGCCTGGAATGCATTTTAGTCTATACTTAACATGTCCTTTCTGGGTCAAGCATCGTTGCTTAACTTCTCATATGCATTCATTAGATGTGCCCAGTTTTCTTCATATTGCATGTATGTATATCATAAAATGAATTTTATAAAATTATATTTCTCCTTCTTGCTCCTTTCTTGAAGCATTTGAAAATAGCATAAGATGCCTTAAATGCTTCACAATACACGTCCATAACGTTGTGATAGTTGCCATTTTATCTTCTTTTAGCTGGTATTGCTGATACAAAAATATTACACCTTCCTTAATGTATATTTGTATGTTGTTGGTGTTCTAGACTGTTACTTTTATTAGGTTTGTGGGTATATGTATTCCTTGTGATATGATTCTTTCGACCTATGTGTACTGTATATCGATTCTGATTTGTGCCTCTTTGATCTGATCGACCTGGAAAGAGTAATGAATCTTCCTCATGACAAAGGGTCTAGCTGTAGGTTTGCTTCCTGTAGCTGGATTTTGATGCTCCTGGTTTAAAGGCACCTTATGGCCATTTTTGTAGCGAGTTATTTAGGTATTTGAGTTTGTCTCTTTAACAAGGACTTCCCTTCTTGCCAAGCATTCAATTGAAACTATGCGTAGGATTTATTTAGCCAGTTCTGGTGTGGGTGTTCAGTATGCTTTGTGTAATAATAGCATATTTGGGGCGTTGATGTTTATGTGTTACTGGCTAGTTTGTTTGAATGTATTTCTATGCAAATGTTATTTTTTTTTTTTTGGGTGTATGTTGTGAATCCATTGTTATCATCGCGTGTATCCATGTCCGAGTTTTTTATGTATCTGTTTTTTAGTATTTGTGTGTTTTCAGAGTGCTCCATGTTAGATTTCAACATCACTATCATTATTATCTATACTTGTGGCAACAATGGCCCTTTTTTGAGTGTTTCTATACCTAAATCTTTATCCAGGCTTCTTATGTCTGCCGTGCTTAAATTAGCTGTATTTTCAGTCGATTATTGAACAGGGCTTGTTTGTGTTATAGATTTAGACACCTCTTCCTTACTTACATTAATGAGGGAACTTAGTTTTGGAGATGATAGTGTTACATTATGGCCACCTAAACTAGGTTAAACCGGTAGGGATTGAGCTCTATGATGTTGGATTGTTCTTTATCTTTCTTCTTAAGGGTTTACTCATAGCCTGTTAGGTGCAAAATCTACATTACTACACACATTCACACACCAGCATCACTTGTACTTCTTTAGGAGACATTCTAACTTACCTACATCACGTGTGGGGGCGAAGAGAAAAAAATTTTCTGGATACCCCCGCTTTCAGTTTGGGATTAAACCGTTTGAATTACTATCATGATTTTTGAGAGGTGAAGTTGGATGAGCCTGGGTGAGAGGAAATATTGATTTAGCGCTGTTGAGGTATGTCTGCACGATAGGGCTTCCAAAACAGGATTACCTTTGGCGATAGTTAGTAGTCAGAGAGCGGCGGAATATAACAACTGAATAACGAGGTCTTCCCTTAGAAATTATGTGTACTAGCAGCGTGATCGCATAAGGTACTATTTTTAGTAGGTTTCACCATTTTTTTTTTTACTTTTTTTCTAGTATAATTTTTCAAAACAGTATTTTTAAATATCTCATATTGCTTTGAAAGTTTTGCATTTCGCCATCCTTACTTTAGGTAATTAGAAATAAAATGATTGAATTCAAATAAACTTGACTTCATACATTACAGTATATTAGATTTTTTAAAAACATCATTACAAAAAAAATCATATAATATAAACTTCTGCGTGCTTCCAAGGACATCGTAAACAGGTTGAAAAGAAATATGCTTTAGAGACATAATGATGACCCCCAGTGGCACAGCGACATGTCTGCGGACTTACAACGCTAGAAACCGGGTTTCGATACCCGTGGTGGGCAGATAACAGATAGCCCTTTGTGTAGCTTTGTGCTTAACTTCAAACAAACAAACAGACATAATGATAAAATAATAAATGACAGTAACGAGATGACGTTTGTTCCACTAAGTTGTATCTGTGTCAACTAGTTCTAACACGATGAAGATATACTATTGTGGATCATAATGTCGTTTTGTAACGATTTATAACATAATTACAAACATGTTTTCTATAAATAAGTGAATTTTATTCTTAGAAGTGCTCTCAAATTACAGTATTTTGTGTTCTGAAACGTTTTTTAAGTATGTCGCTAGTATTATCATCTGGTTACACTGTGTACTACTAGTATTAGTATTACTGTATTGTTTATAAATATTGCGCAGTGTCGAATGTGTGGAAGTTTCCAAAATCACGGTAATTTTCCGCCGTCATGTTTAAAGCTAATATATATAAAATTGATCGTGCTTTGGCGATAACATAGTAGGAAAGAGAGATTTAACTTTATTTACGTGTAACACTGTCAGAGTTTTCCCTGTTTCACTTGTTGACAAATTGTGTTAATCTTTAGAGTGGAAATTTACCTTTATCGCAATCAATGAATCATTGGCTGCCGAGGTCGACTGGTACTTGAGCCGTTCAGAACCAGTTGCGAGTGGTTAGCTAGCTGCATAGTCAGTTCTGTCAGTGTTATTGCAGCAGTGATATATGTATTGTGCCATTTAATGATTCATTCGAGATTTTATTAGTCCAAAAGTGGTATTTTTAATATTTTAACTTTAATTACTTAGTTTTAACTGTTTACAAATTATAATGGTTGCTACTTGAGTACTTCTAAGTTCTACATCCTTTACTACAGTAACTGAGTAAGTATTATTACTACTGTTAGTATTAATTAGCACATATATATGTATATGTATGTTTACATAAACTGGAGCGAGTGCTGTGTCGAAGGTTAATCGCATTCCACTGCCAGTGACTAACAGAAAAAAAGTAAAAAGTTCGTTTATCCATTGTTATTTGAAATATAACCGATATTATCAATATCATTTCAATCTAATCACATTTTACTAAATTTTAGTAGGGCTAATACTATTAGCAATAGTAGTTTACAACTAGTAGTATTAGTACTAACCGCTACTACTAGTAGTACCACCATGAAAGTTCTAACTAACTTCTAGTTATTCAGTGAGCCTGTATTTTTGTTTTATTTTCAGGTTCTGTAGTGTTAATTGATTATTAACATACATAACATAATATTTTGCAACAACAAGGGACCTATTGGTCCATCTATGCTGTCTTATCCACTAAACTAAACTAACAATATCAAAACAAGATCCTCAAAGCTAGCCCTTATCATTCATATATTTATCAAGCTTTTTCTTAAACTCTCTTAAATTTACTGCTTCCACAACATCTGAAGACAACCCATTCCAAAAGCCAACCACCCTGATAGGTAAATCAAACTGTCTTAGCAGAAGATGACTCCTACCTTCCAAAATTTATATTTGTGTCCCCTTAGTCCTACTATTCTCATCATTAAATATAAAAAAACATGATACATCAACACTATCAATTTCTTTTACAATCTTAAACACCTCAATCAGACCCCTCTAACTCTTCTTTTTTCAAGATAAGACAATTTGAGAGATTTCAGCCTCTCCTCATATGACAACCCCTGCATCGCAGGCACCATTCTAGTAACCCTTCTCTGAACCTTTTCCAACAATTCAATGTCCTCCCTAAGGTAAGGAGCCTAATACTGAATGCAGTATTCCAAATATGGCGTAACCAGTGACCTGCACAATGAAATTATAACCTCTTTAGGCTTGTATTAAATATTTCTGTAGATACAACCTAAAATCCTACTTGTCCTACCACTAGCAACAGTGTATTACTTGGATGGCTTTAGAGACTGATCAACTATTACACCAATATCCTTTTCTTCCATAACACTATTAAGGTTATTCCCATCCAAATTATACTTATAATTCAAATTATAATAGCCCACATGCATTGTCTTGCACTAATTATAATTAAAATACATTTGACATTTATTTGCCTAATTCGTTAAATGATCTAAATCCTTTTGTAAAACTGTCAATTCTGAAACACATTGCATGAGACTTGCGCATTTTGAACACAGATTATGCTCTCACACCTGATTGCTAAACTCTCACAACTATTAGTGTTTAAAATCATAAATAATATTCAATGTTAATCTGGTACACAATTAAAAACATTTTATTTAGGCCTATCTATGGCCTTCAAAAAGTTGACGACTCTACACTCCTGAGGATGACGTTGTAACGTCGAAACATGTAGAGTCAT